CCCCCGTGTGGCCTGCGAAGAAACGCTGCCACAGCCATCGGGTGCCTCGCAGTGGGAGATCTCCTGGAGATCCACCAAGATCTGCCTCCTTTCAGATCTAGCCAGGAGGGTGGGGACAGGAGCTGCTGAAGAGCAGCTCCCCTGGGCCCAGTGATCCTCTGGTATTTCAGAAAACGAAACAAAGAACAGAGTTGGCTTGGTGCTGGGAAGTGACCCTCTTTTATTCTTACATTTGTCTCCCTTTCAGAGACCCCTGAGTGTGACCGTGATGCGCGGGGGCAAAAAGGTGCACGTGGGGCTGACTCCGAAGCGCTGGTCGGGGAAGGGTCTCCTGGGGTAAGCTCACCTCACCCTCACCTGCCAGAGCACAGGAGGCTTTCACCCAGCTCAGAGCACATTCCTGCAGCTGGGACAGCCCTGTGCTTTGCTCTCAGGGTGTTTTGCTGCCTACTCTGACTTCACTGGGGGTGCCAGGGAGGAAGGTCTCAGTGGCTGCTTTGTCTTGTAGAGGAGACCAATGGAGGAGGGTTGTGGTGGGTCTGATTCAGGCCATGTCAGATCTTCTAAGCTTGTTTGAGAACTGAGACTTCAATGTCTCCTTCTTCCCTCTTCTTTTTCAGCTGCAATATCATCCCCTTGCAAAGATGACCACTGCTTGGAAAGCAATAAAGCTGAAGCCTGTGCCTGCTTTCTGGACTGTGATCTGGTTTGAAAACTTGCCTTCATGTTCTTGCTGAAACAAACGTTTCAGAGGCTGTGACCTCTGGGTGCCAGACTCGCAGTCTGAAGAGGTTTCTGATAGAATAAGGTCTGACTGCAGTTCAGTTGCACTGGTTCGTCAGGAGTAGCTTCTTGCAGAGCTGCAAGATGTGGCTTCTCATATCTCACACCTTGTATCACTTTGCAGTGAGGCTATAGAGACCCAAACATCACTTGATACAGGCTCTGAAAAGTGTTAAATGCTTTACTTGGTGATGACAGAGCATTCCTGATTTTTTCCCCCTTAAATTCCTCATTGAATATCTTTAAATACATGCTAAAAAGTCCCTGAGCACTTTTAGGGTGTCAATAATAGTAGATCACAAGAAATAGACAAGTTTGATACTTCATTTTCCCTATGTTGTTGCAACTTTTTTGCAAGTCACTAAACATGAAAGAATCTTTGGGACACCTAATTATTTTAAGTTAATGAGATAAGGAAATAGGTGTTATGATTCTACTTCACTTCTAGTGTTTTCATATGGTCATGATAAAAGTACTCCTAACCTGACAACTTTTTTACTTTGTTTATTTGTGGTGGTTGGTTTTGGGGTGTATAAATTCTTCCAGAGGATTTCTGGGATGGCTGGATTTGTTGTAAGTTTGTTTCCAGTGGAATTTCAAAGTACTCCTCTGAAACAATAAAATGACTGATGCCTCTCTCTGTTCTTGTAGAAGTTACTATTTTGGGCAATAATTGTGGGTGGGTTAAAGGCACAGACACAAAATCCTGACCCTCTGACCTTGCAGAGCCGAAGCCCCAGGTAAGGTGCAGATCTTCCCTTAACTCTTCATGGGCAGGTTGTGGTGTAAGTAACATCACACATAATGAGCTATTTTGTTTTAATTGTTATTAACCACACCTGAAATAGACTGAAAAAAGGAACTTAAACCCCAGGCTTTGAAATCCCTCACCCAGGGCTCTATGTTAATTGGGGTATGTTTATCCTTGTGATGTTTCAACTTGCAGCCCAGGAGATCAGATCCTTGCTGAAGTGATAAAGCTTCAAAGCAAAGCTTCTTGCTCAGGGTGTCCTGCAGGCTTCAGGTGCTGCAGAGGAAGTGTTCCTGCAGCAGCCCTGGCAGTGTTCCTGGGGTGATTGTATCTAGATAATCCCCATCCAACGCAGTCTTACCCTGGTCTACCTTAGATGCTCCTTTGTTCTTCCAAGTCATTTGAAGGAAGGAGGCATAATCCTGCCTCAGCTCTGAGGTGAGCCTGCTCTGCTGACCTGCACCAGGTTCTGCAACCCACAAAGGCCACTGCATCTCATAAATCCCTGGTGAAATCCCCCTGGGAAGCAGTGTGATGTCCTCTGTCTGGTTACAAGGTCAGTGCCCCTGTAGAGTTGCTCTGGAGGAGAGTTGGGTCTCCCTCTGGGACCACTGTGCCAAAATACTTGCATAAAACAGTTTTTAAATGCACGTTGTGTTGGGCTTAGGAGCCTTGTTTTTTGCAAAAAGGTTTTTTGTATTTGTAGGTGCTGCTGCAGTTTCTAAACATGTCTGTCCACAAGCTGCCCCATCTTCTGTCCCTGAAAAATAGAATGTAGGTGTAAGTATGTGGATAAATTCAGAATCACATGGCAGCTGGAATGTCAGACCATCAAGGGGCTGGTCTTTGCCTTGGCCATGTGTGCTTGGGGTGTGCCCAGGTGTCTCAGCTGTGGCTGCCTTTCACCTGAGCTGCAGACAAATGGGCCTGGATACCAGTCCAGGAGAAGAAAAGCTCACAGGACACATCTTTCCAGGCCTTTGCATTTGTGCCTCTAGGGATGAAGTGATCTAGAAAATCCCAGCTTTCTGTACCACTCCTGAAATGAGGTTGGGTCATTCCAGCCCCATCAGCCAATTAATTCCTGCTCCCTTCAGGGAGCTCGTTTCCCTTTCAGCAAGGGAGCTGCCTGCACACTTCAGGTGCCTCTCAGCTCTGCCAGGCTTCTGTAGAAGTTGTCCCCTAACTCTGTGTCCCCAGCCCCTCCAATTGGGTGTCCTGGCTAGAAAGGGTTTAACAACCCCAACCAGTGCAATAAACAGGTTCTGTTGCAAAACCTGCTGTGGGTGAGGCTTGAGCTTCTGCCTTAGACCACACTCAAACCTCTGCTGCAGGACCGGAGCAGAAGAGGAGCTGCTCTCAGCCAGAACAAGCAGGATTTCCACGCTGGAGCGCAGAGGTGATCAGCAGGGTGGGGATGAGGAGGGTCCCCCCGTCCCTCCCCGCTCAGTCCCCGGCGCTTCCCGGGCCGCTGGCGCTGCCCGTGCAGCCGTTGCCTGGGAACAGTCGGATCAAGCAAACAGAAGCGGGGCTGGCGTGTCGGTGAGCAGAGGGGTCCCCAGGGAGCGGGGACGGGACAGCTGGGGAGGCACCGAGGCCTGGAGGGGCTCAGAATAGCGCTGTGGTGCCCCCGGTGAGACCCGGGGTCCCCGGCTGTCCCCGAGCGGCTCCTGCCGCCGAGGGAGGGGGTTTCCTGGGGCCCTCTTCCCATTCCCATGGAATTTCTCTGTGCAAGGCTTTAGTGTTGGCTCAAATGCAGGTCCACGGAGCTGGAGATGATCCATCTGCCCCCCAGGAGTAGCCCTGCTGCTTAAGGGGACAGTGACAAAATTCCACTGGAGGGGAAGTGTCCCTGTGTGTGCAGGCAGAGGAGCCAACTGGGGGAAGAACAGGAGTAAGCAGTGAGCCCATGGAGACATCCCAGGATGGACAGACAGCTGAGCAGAGGGGAGAGGACAAGGAGCACCATGGCTCTGCCAGCTTGGTGTGGGCAGCCACCCCAGGGATGCTCTTCCAGGAGGACCGGCGGAACAGCCTTCACTCCCTCGTGAGTACCAGTGGGGATGGTGCCACCATGATGGCCCACAGAGCACCCAGTGCTCCTGCCCTGCTCTCTCCCATCACCCCAGAGTCTTTCAGTGACTTTTCAGCCCTGGGCACTAAGAGTCAAGGACAAAAGCTCTTCCTCTTCCCCACAGAGCCTGTCCTGGGTGTTTGGCTACAACAGCAGCCTGGCCGTGCACAGCCTGATGGATGGGGAAGAGCAGGTGCTCCTGTATGTCTCCTCCCACACAGTGGTCATCCACGATGTCCTGGGGAACAGGCAGTACCACCTGCAGGTCTGGCACTCAGCCTACGTGCCTTTCTCCTTCTCCTAAACCCTATCCCTACGTTCCTTTTCCCAGTGCCCTCCACTTGCTCACAGCTGGAGAAGCCTGTGGTCTTTGCCACAGCTGAGGGTGTCATCTAGAACTGAGTCAAGAAGCAGCCCATGCAAAGGGCTGCATTCTTGTGCCCTCATGCTGTTGCCATCCTCAAAATGCGTTGGTGGAAAGTGCTCTGTGTTGGATTGTAGGGGTGGTGGCAGTGGGGACCTGCAGCCAGAGCAAGGGACAGGGACTGAGTGATGGGCTCAGGAGAGTCTGTGGAAAATGGGATGCAAAATTTGGGCTGAAAGGATGAGAGTACAGGACTCGTGGGAGGGAAGACAAGGGGAGCCCATGAGCAAAGCAGCTGGATGAATGCTTTAACAAGCCACCAGGTCTGGGGCCTCTGAGACACTTTGCTGCTTCTCTTTCCCCAGGGCCACACAAATGCCATTTCTTGCCTGTGTGTGAGTGAGGACAGGCGCTGGGTTGCCACTGCTGACCGAGGGCCAGATCCTCTGATCATCGTGTGGGACTCCTTCTCTGGGTAAACTCCTGGGAACCTCCTCCTCAGGAACATCCTGAGGAGCCATTTATTTGGGAGGGAGGAAGATGATGCTGAGCATCAGCTGTGGCGCTGGCAGACTCCATCATCCCCTCATTTCCATCCCTGGGCAGACTTGGGGAGGGCTGGGCCACAAGTTGTGTCAAACAAATGCCATGAACCCACCGTGCTGCTGTGACCACCCCCCCATGAGGCCTTTTCCCCCCAGGATCCCCGTGCGCACCATCTTTGGGAGCCACTCAGATGAGGGGGTCAGTGCTATTGCTATTTCCCAGGACATGAAATACTTGGCAACCATCGGGGCTGGCAGGGTGCAGGTAAAGAAAGTATCTCCTCTTTCAAAGCCTGGTGGGACAGAGCCTCACAAGTTTTTCCTGGCACACAGGAAGGGAAAGGGGAATTTGGGTGGGGAGAGCAGGAGAAAAGTAGAGTGGGTTTGCAGTGATGGCTTGTTTTTCATGGAGCCAGTGGAAGATAGAGCTGGATTTAATTAAAGGGAGTGCTGTGGAGTTGAGAAAATGGATCTTGAGTTGGATGGAATGCTTCTGATTCCAGTGTGCTTTCATCAAAGCAATTTCTAGTATTATTTCCTGAAATTAAGCTCCCTGTTGGGTTTGTCCTGCTCCCATCTTTCATGCTCCTCATCCCATGCAGCTGGAGGGAATGGGGTTCATCTGGCTCCCCCTGAGCTCCCAGAGAGCCACAAATGGCCCTTGGCTTTTCCCTTCTTTGCCAGAAAGTTTGTGTTTGGAAGTGGACTTCACCCACAGAGAAACCTGTGTGCAGCACGGAGCTGAAGCCTGAGTTTGGGCACCAGGTGAGTGGTGACTGGGCAGCCCCCTCCTCACCTACACCCTCCCTGCCCCTGTCCAATATAGGGCTGCTGAGAGATGTCAGCTGGAGATGGGAGGCATTATCCTACCCCATCCCTGCTGCACCCCAACAGAGCAGAGCACCCCACCCCTGGTGGGATGTCCAACACTGGCAGTGCCAGGGCAGGAGAAGCCCCCAGCCCCACCAGCTTGTCTCTGCTTGCAGGAGGGAGGGCACAGCTCAGGTGTTTCACAGGGAATTTGGCCTGTATGTTCAGTGCAGGTGGTGAAGTGGGTTTTGAATAAAAGCAAATGTTCTGCATGAAAGAATCAGCAGAAGGCACTGCCCAGCCTGGTGCTGATGTGACTTGCACCTTCTGATTTCAGGATTATGTAATTTTTAACCCTAAAAATCGCTATGAGTTTGTCAGCAACAGTAAAACCCAGGTGATATTTTACCTGTGGGTAAGTAGGAGCATGGGAAGTTTTATTTCTGGTGCCCGAGAGGCTCCGGAGGGCTGGGAGGGGGGCACGGAGGGCTGGGGGGGGCTGCCCCTGCCCTCGCCCCTCCCCACGGTCAGCAGGTTTAGGGGGAGGAACGGGTGGGAGGAGAAGGTGTTTTGAGCTCTCTGGAGGGTCTTGGGAGCTTCTCTGCCCCAAGAGCCCTGCTTTGGTCACCACAGTGACGGCCGGTGCCCGCAGGGCGGGGAGGGGGACGCTGGCACTGCAGAGCAGGGTCCCCGAGCGCTTGTCCTGGATGTTTTCCCCGCTGTCCGCAGGGCGATGCCGGTTTGCAGTACGGAGCCCCCCCCCTGAGCAGAGAGGTGAGCACAGGGGGCACCGCAGCTTCTCACCCTCCGGGCTTTCCTCCTGGCAGCAGCGCTGTCCCTCCCCATCCCCCTGAAAGCGGTCTCCGTGTCCCCAGCTTGTCCCCCTCGGTGTCCTGAAGGGACAAGCCGGGATTGCCCGAGCTGAGGCCGAGAGGGGCTCGCTGTCCCAGGGGTGCCCCGCTGCACCTTCTCCCGGGGGTCTCGCCGGGGGACAGGGAGGGAATGTCACGCGGAAGGGCCAAGCAGGAACGTCTCTCCTTGAGGAAGGATGAGCCAGTGCCCAGGAAGAGCCCACAGCCTTTCTGCTCTCCCCGCAGACCTTCGGCACCCGCGTGGGTCGCTTCGGCCAGTCCGCGTTCCACTTCAACACCTCGCAAGCCCTGACGGGCACCTCGGCCGGGAAGCTGGTGGTGTGGGAGGAGGCCCGACCCCACGGCCCCTCCGAGGGGCTGCCGGCCAAGCCGCACAGCATGGGGGGCGCCAAGGTGGGGGCCCTGCAG